GGGCCTGGACCCCAACCGGGTGCCCTGCCTGGCCAGGCCGCCTGGGACCTCCCCCGGGCCCCTGCCGGTCACCCGGGCGGCCCGGATCCCCACTCAGAAAAAAATCAATGTCATGCAGAATTGCAAACCAAACATCTTTGGCCTGAGGGTGACCACAAAATTCGATATGGAATCACTGAGTCAGAAAAAGAAAAGAAGGAAAAACTAAATTATATCATCTTTATGCCCCTTTAAGCCCCTTCGAGCCCCTTCGAGCCCTTTCAAACCCTGCTTATGCCCCATAGACAACCTTTGGTGAGATATCACCAAACTCAAAGATAAGGCCGGATTTGGGCACGTCTCAGTGGGCACAGAATTGCCCCACTGCCAAAGAAAAGAAAAAGGAAAAAATTGACCCCTTTTTTGGTGTCGCCCGGGTATCCTGGGCGGGTCACCCCTGTACAAGTTCACCCGGGTCGCCCGGCCAGGCAGCCCTGGCAAGGCGACTCTGGTAACATAAATTTTTGGACCTTTCCAGGTGGATGTTGCTGTGGATGGAATTCTACTTTTGGATGTTTATGTGCTCTGTCACCGTTGTGTCCGTCCATGTCTGTCGCCTGTGGCATTATTTTTGGATAATTAACGAAGAGTGGCAATGTGAAACCGAAACTCAAATCAGAAACTGTTGTTGAGACTTGCTGGAGTTCTTGGGTCCAGATCGTCTGTTCAGATCATCAGACAACTCAGAATTCGTATGGAAGGTTATCGTTTTGGAGTGGGGCAGTGAACCCACATAGGCTATCGAAAGGTCAGTGAAGGGACTGAAGTCTGTAATATTGTTGTCTGTTCTGCCAGGCTTGAACGAGCGAGCCCCAGAACCTACATAGGTTCTGGAAAGGTCAGTGAGATCAAGGCGGCGATAACTGCTTTTGATGTGGAAACGGTGATCTTCGATGATGAATTATCTCCAGGGTAAGGAATACTGAGCACCCCATTTATTTACTCTACTGCAGCGATGGGTAGGTTTCAACAATGGGCGTTTAATGGAGGGACTTTGACATGAAGGTGTTTGAATGGGGGGTGGTCACTTGTATACAATTGAAGGAGCATCTTGGAAAAAGAAAACAGAAAGAAATGCGAGTTGATTCCATTGGAGGGAAAAACATTGCCTTATGAACCGCTGCTGTTTTGACAGATGAAAGAATCAAGCAGTGACAAGCACCACATATCAACAAGAAGATATCATAACTCTCTCTCTCTCTCTCTCTCTCTCTCTCTCTCTCTCTCTCTCTCTCTCTCTCTCTCTCTCTCTCTCTCTCTCTCTCTCCACCTACTATGGTCAGTTTCATGCTTTTCAAGCATAGACATAGAACCCCTGGGGCTCGCACGCGGGAAATGGGGAAGAGGATATGGCTTGGGGCAAGCAAGTTGTGAGGGAACGGCCTGGAACAACTGTAAGTTGTAGGGTCAGTGGTCTATCTATCTGTCTATCATCCATCCATCCAGCTACCTACCTACCTACCTACCTACCTACCTACCCACCCACCCACCAACCCACCAACCCACCCATAGATCCATCCATCAATCCATCTATCCATCCTTCCATCCTCCACTCGATCAGCTGATCTTATCTGACCTTTTATCCAAGCCAATCCAATCGGTTCGCTTTGATTGGATTCGATTCAATTCGGACCCAGACCATCCAATCCCATTGAAATCCGAATCAGTCCGAACTGGGTCCGAATTGAATCGAATCGAATCAAGCGAACCGAATCGAATCGAATGGGATTTGAGTTGTATCGAATTGACTCGAGTCGAATCAAATCGAAGCGAATGGAAGGGAATCAAATGGAATTGAATCCGAATTGAATCCGAATTGAATCCGAATTGAATTGAATTGAATTGACTCAAATCGAATCGAATAGTCGAATCCAATCGATTCAAATCAAATGGAATCAAATCGAATCGAAGCACATCGAATTGAATCAAATCAACCAGACGAGCCATTCCCCTGGTGGGAACGGTGTTGAAATTTGAATTGCGACCGACACCTGGCAGCTTTGGTGGTAATGGATGTAGATCTTGTGGCCCTCTTTGGGGGAGGCTTGGAGATGATGGGTAGGACTAGAGGCGATGATGGTGAAGTCGCCTTGTCAATGACGAGAAGAGGTGGTACTTGTGCCCGTCGAGTAGGTGGTACAATATTTGGAACCACTTTGGCTTTAAATCATTGCATGTGTGGCTACCTTGGCTCACAAGTGATTTTTGAATCATTTTTCCTGCTCTTGATTGATATCCTATGTTGACATACTGTTCATTGATTGTGTGAGCACCTTTGCGGGCACAGAGTTTCAATCTGCAACCAGTTGCGGCCACACACACACACACACACACACACACACACACACACACACACACACACACACACACACACACACACACACACACACACAGAGAGAGAGAGAGANACACACACACACACACACACACACACACACACACACACAGAGAGAGAGAGAGAGAGAGAGAGAGAGAGAGAGAGAGAGAGAGAGAGAGAGAGAATCAGCAAATGTGTTTTTAATCTTTTGAAAGGTTCTTGGGAAGGAAAGTTGCGACACCTCCAATTGCTACACTGTGGCCTGCACTGCCCTGCAGACCAAAATGGAGGCGTAGGAGCAGAGGGCGTGGTGCAGTTCCGAATCGAGCGAGAAGTGAGGAATGAAACCCGATCAATGCTCTCCATCACGAGCTTGGGATGCGGAAAATAAAAACTGAGGTTTGAGATACCTGCTCTCATTCAAGTGCTGGGTAACTAACAATCCTCGGGGTGCTTGCAGTCACCTGCCTGTCTTGGGTGACGGACGCAATGGCCCTGGCATGATGAAACCGAGTAGAGCAATGAATTGGCTGCAACCGCTGCACTGTGTGCAGAAACAGTGTCTTTGTCATGACCAAATGGCGAAGCGCCGCATACTGAAAACAAAAAGCCGCTGTCTTGCAAGACCTCACTGACTTGGGAATGAAGTTGAACTCCACTCTGAGGGCATGTTCACACTAGGACATTCCTGGATGTATGTGACTGCGATTATGGTCGACTCTTAGATGCATCTGAACACAATGATGTCCATAGTTGAGATGGAAAAAATGAACGCGTGAGTATGCCCTGCATCCATTGTTCAAGCCTGCCGGCCTTCATCACTTTGCGCCCTTTTTGCTTGTCGTCTGTCTTTCCCCCTCGATACTGTTTGGAATGTCTTAGACAGTTACGTAACCTAGAGAAAGCGCTTGGCGAAGATGTGCGTGTGTGTGACCGGACTGCACTTATATTGGACATTTTCAGCCAGCGGGCAGCAACGAGAGAAGGGAAATTGCAGGTTGGTTGCCTTTTTTCTTTTTTCTTAATGATCCTTCCCCAGGAAACTGCAGGTCAGACCAACTGGCCGAGGTCAGTTGGTAGATCCATGGACTGTTGACATATAGACCTGAGTTCGAACTCCACTCGAAGCAGACAAGTAAAATACTACAATTCTGAATTACCTAGGGCTGGTCAGTTCAATGATAATATCTCAAGGCTGTCGCCCTCCCTTTTTTGTTCTTTCTATACTCTTACTAAAGTGTAAGCTGGATCTGACGTAATGCTTCCGCCAGGCCGGGCTTACAGTGTTGGGAAAATGCTCGGGCGGGCCCAGCAGAAACCGCTCGCGTGTCACGCTTCCTCCCCTCTCCCCCCCTTTCTCGCGTGTGGGGTTCCGTGTCTGTATCTTTTTCATATAGGGAGGGGGGGGCGCATCGGGCAGTATGTGTTTTGGTTCTGTCGTGTCGTTTCCCCCGCGCCTTGGATGTTCAAATACAAGTACATAGAGCTAGGCCCCATATGGATTCCTTCTATCGCGTAGATTCGTTGTCTCTGTTTTGTTTTCCCTTTCCTGTAGATTCGGTTTTTTTTTTTTTTTTTTGTGACTTCGCTGTAGATTCTCGCTCCACTGCTCACCACATGCACACAATGGACGAGGCTCCGCTACTCTCGCATGCACAAAAGACAAGAGAAAAAATTGTGGCAATGTATCTCTCCATGTTCTAGCGGAGGATTCAGTCTCATTCTGCATATTTGAAGAGTAGCGGAGTGAGGACTCGTCCATGTCTCCGAGTGTGCAGAATGACACTGAATACTCTGCTACAACATGCAAAAATACATTGCCAGTTGTGGAACGCAGCCGATGGTCAGACCCGAGTCCATCCACTATTGAACACGGTGGGGCTCGCTCTTCGACTCCTTGCAATGTATCTCTCCATGTTCTACCGGAGGATTCTCATTTTGCACATTTGAAGACATAGTGGAGCGAGGCCCCATGCGTGTCTCCAAATGTGCAAAATGAGACTGAATCCTCTGCTAGGACATGAAAGATTGCCAGGCCCGAAGTGGTGTTTAGGGCCTCGCTCCACTGCTAACCACAAAAATGAGCAAGTGGCCTTATTTAGGTTTCNGCTAGGACATGAAAGATTGCCAGGCCCGAAGTGGTGTTTAGGGCCTCGCTCCACTGCTAACCACAAAAATGAGCAAGTGGCCTTATTTAGGTTTCCGCCTGGCTCCACTACTCACCATGGTTTAGGTTCGACCATAAGTGCGGTCAGATACATTGACAAAAGTGCTAGATGTGAGTATGCCCAGAGTTTTTTGTTTTTTTGTTTTTTATAGAAAAAAAGATAAAAAGTTCGACCATACATTGACGAAAGTGCTAGTTTGAGTATGCCCTGAGTTGGGTGBTTTTTTTTTTTTATAGAAAAAAAAAATAAAAGTATGGCGGTGTATCTTTCCATGTCACGCGGCTACGCATGGAGCCTCGCTCCACTGCTCTCTGAATGTGCAAAATGAGACTGAATCCTCCCCTGGAACATGGCNGTGTATCTTTCCATGTCACGCGGCTACGCATGGAGCCTCGCTCCACTGCTCTCTGAATGTGCAAAATGAGACTGAATCCTCCCCTGGAACATGGCGAGTGAATTGCGGCTGGATGTGTCCATGTGTTACATGCTGCGCCTGCAACAGGCTGCACGGGCCATTTCGAGGCCCGTGACGTTTTCAGGCCAAGAGCCTGAAAACAAGGGCCTACAGGCCCTGTGTCGTTTCAGGCTAAATCAGGGCCTTTCCGGCCCTGAGTGTTTTCAGCCTGAAACTGAGGGCCATTTCCGGGCCCTCATGAGTTCGGCCTGCCCCGAAACTCAGGCACCAAACCAGGGTTTTAGCTCAGGCCATTTTTGGCCTATTTTCAAGACAACCTTCGTTTGAGCTGCAACCCCAGGGTCTGGCACATTTTGACATTGGCAAGAGCAGCCTCCTGGACGGGCCAGCACTACAAAGGACTGGGCCTCTGTTACATCTTCGACGCCACACGGGTCCTACCGGACCCGACTTAGGGCCAGAGGGACACAGTAGGGCCTAAAGTCCCGACCTTGGGGTACTACAGGCCGTAAATTCCTCATCTTGGACCAGACCCGACGGGCAGGCCCAAACGACATTACCGTTTGGGCCTGGCGGCGCTCTTGAGGCTGCCGCCCGCCGGTTGGGGCTGAACCGTCCATCTGGACGGTTCAGGGCACGGCCAGGCCTCGCAGCATAGAGGCCGTCCTCTGCCCACCGGTACAGCCTCATTCAGGCTATCGAACCACCGGCAGTCTACGTGGTGCGTTATGGTTAGCGCTAAGAATAGCGCTGCGCCAGAGCGCTAGCGCTATTCTTAGCGCAGGAGTACGAGGAGCAGCGGCAGCAGCATTAGCGCAGCAGCGGCGACTGAGCATATCAGCGGCCATAGCCGCCTGAGGTATCGGGAGTCGGAGATTCTCTCCTCCCTCCCATCGCCAGTCCCCTCTCTCTCTCTCTCTCCTCCTCGACTCTCTTCTCTTCTTCTTCTTCTTCAGACTTCTTCTTTTTCTTCTTCTTCAGATTGGAGACTTCATAGTTCATACTAGTTGGACAGAGATCAGTGTTGGACTTCGGTGGTATGAGGCTGTGGTACTTACCGGATTCGAGACTTGGAGATTTTTGGGGTTGATACTCTGCGGCATCACAGTTCGGACACCGGTTACGTTTGGACTCTGTATCTCCGACATTGGTGACTTATTGTCCTCGATATTTTGATCTTGTTAGATGACATTTTGGACTACCATATCGGTGACCTATCGGAGTCTATCTCGATGACCTTCGGTGCTGTCTACCTCCCCCACCTTCTTCGTCTCTCCTCCCACCTTTCATCTGTGCATGTGTGTACGGGATCTGGGCATCGTCTATGCTTGGCCCAGACCCCCCCCATCTCACGATGGTA